AAAAAAAAAAAAAAAAAAAAAAAAAAAAAAAAAAAAAAAAAAAAAAAAAAAAAACTAATCAAAATAGAGATTGAAATGCGTGAAAGGAAAATCTAAAATGACGGACCTGAAAGATAGCATGTCACGGACTTTAGGAGCTTTAGGCATGGTCATAAATAAGGAATTCGCAAAGAATGTGATACGCCGACGGGCTTCCAAATTTTGAGGCACATTAATTGCAGATTCCTTGACAGTCAAAAGCAAAGAAAGCCTAACAACCTGTTAAAAAATGCAATATAGGATAAACCCTCATTTTTTAATGATAATGTAAAGAAAATACCATTAAAAAGCTTAAATGATAATAGCTAAGAGAACCTTTTCTATCCATGATTTGGTGTGTGTAAGTTCTATGTTAATATTCTCAAACCTCTGCCCCTGCTTCCCATCAGAGTTATCATAAGGATCTACCTCTGCTCCAAGAATTCTTGCATTGGAAATAAACGGTTATATACATACAAGAATATCAAACAAGTTTCATCGGAAGACAATGTTTTTCACGTACTTATACTTCAAAAAGACTTACTGAGAGCCATTAACCATGACATCCTGCGTGATAATCTCAAAGATGTCCTGGAGAACATTGATTATCTGTNAAAAAAAAAAAAAAAAAAAAAAAAAAAAACACATGATTAAATATAAACACAATCAACTCCATTTCATCGGTCTATCAAAGGTACCATCATCGTTGCTAATATTGTTTTCAATACAATAAACACATACCACTAAAAGTTTTAAAAATTTTTCCAGCTTCTCACTGAGTGAAGGAAGGCCACTCATCTTGAAATTGCTTAAGAATTTTTTCTCCCGTATGCTACTTTCTACTTCATGGCAAATTTGCCGCACAATCCTGTTTTATAAGAGAAAATATCAATTTATCCTGAGGATGGATAGGGGGGAAGGAGTGTTTTTTATCTACTAAAAGCTGTTAGCAGGAAAAGTTGCATCATGACTACATAAAAATAAAACGTTAACATTATGATACCCCTACCTCTTGTCTTCTTCATCCTTCAAAAGTTCAGTTACTATATCTGCGAGTGTCTCATAGCATTCTCTTACAGCAGAATACATATAATCGTCACTTTTGATCTTCCTGAATAAGTCAACATCCTCTTTTCCCTTAAAGTCTTTTGCCATATCCAATGCTATTGGAATCTAGCATCATTGAAGAAAAAAAGCTTAGTCACCTAACTAGTTTTCTTCAATTCAAAAACAACAAAATACAAAGCATGCTTTTCAGCTATCTTACAAGTCTTCAATGATCCTTTATACCTTACTAGCAAGCAAGAAAGGAGGCCACTGGACTACCGAGACATCACTTGAAGAATATGGAACAAGTAGTAAATCTCTATCCCTGCATGAAAGTATCAGTCACGGGAAAATGATGGGAACTTCCAAATTTTATATAAATTGAATTTGATTGGGTGATTACCTATTACTGATCAGGTCCTCTTGTCGCATAGTTAGTATGAATTCGTTCCAGACATGAGAGAAGTTGGTAATATTCTTACTTACTTCCTCCTGTGACTATAAAGTATACATTTTATAAAACAAAAGGAATAATTAAAGTAATGACTAGAAGTTGTTAATTATAAGTTGAAACTATTGCCTCCCCAGATAGAATTTGAAAGCACTAAACAAGAGAAATTATTCTGAAATAAGAAATTTTGAAATTTCACATTATTTGATCCTTATCCAACCTCCAAATCATGCTATTTTCATTAGTTAAAAACAATGAATATAATCAATTTTGTAATTTGGTATGGACTTCCGTACTTAGTGAATAAAGAATAACATGCTGTACTATCTGAAGTTTATAATAGAAGGGATATATAAATGACAGAAACAAACATTACCAGGTTCTCTCCTTTGGAATCCCTCTCTGATGATGGAACCAGTCGTTCACTAAAGGCTGAAGGAATGGCCTCAAACCTGGATCGCAACATGCCAAGTGTCCTTATCTAAAAAATACGAAGGTTAGAAAATAATATCATAAAAAAATTCCATTCAACCAGTTCAAAATTGAACAGTCGAGTAACTGTAAAAGAGAAGTTCAATTTTATAATACTGCCCCCAAAACAAAAACAAAAAATTGTTTTTATTTACTATGTATTCTTAAAACTGTTGGCGATAGTATAATTTCACTTGTTAGAAAGATACTTGGCACTAACCTCACCCAGATGACTGAAGGCCCCATGAATGCCCCCAAAAATTGTTGAAAATATTGCATACCAAATTTGTGCATCCATAAAATAAACCTACGTAACAGCAAGAAAGAAAACATTAGTACATGTCATATGATGTGTAGCAATAGCAGAACACTTATCTTAAATGTGGTCCATCGTACATTCATGAAATTCTAGTTATCACTTACCAGGACAACTGGAGCCCATATCGCTATAATAGCCCCAATATTATTTGACACTGCAATTATTCCAAAGTAACCATTAGTAACAGCAACAGCATCTTAATACGACATTTAATATTTCTTGGAATAATAAAACCTTACCATGTGGAAAGAACTCGTGCCATTCATAATTATCAATATGCATTGACATAATCAACTTTGTAGGACCAATGAGTGGATATATCTACTCGAAAGCAAATAATAAACATAAGATTCTCAACAATATAAATGTCTCCCCTAAACTTGGTCAAAATAATTCCACAGTATAGACAATGAGGAAATTTAGTTATGCCATGCTTAGTTTCTGAATTTATTGTATCAAATAAGCGGTTCAGTATCCAGTCTAACAGGTCATAGAGAGGTAAGGACTAATAGTAGTTCACGTCCTTCTTTATTACTTGGAGAAATATTGTTACAATCGATCTTAGTTGTTCCACTTGAATAACTTCTGATAGACAACTCATCACCCGAATCTACTACGAGAGATATATTCCACAGTCACATTCAGCCTTGACAATGAAATAAAAATTAAACTTAATAATAGAAAAGACCATATTGTAGCTGAAGAGTAGTTTATTTTCAGATACTCGCATGAACGACAAACAAAGACGTTTTTTCTGGCCCCATCCCAAATGCTTGCGATGAATGTGAAAAGAACTCAATCATCAGTGTATAACTAAACCAATCAAGGAACCAGATTTATTAAAACGATTTATCCATCATGAGTAATAATTTACTTGGAAGAGCGAGAAGAAAACCCATAAGCTAGAAATCAAGTTAATGGCATTGTGTATGTATGTGTATGTGTGTGTGTGAAAGCTTGAACGCATCTCGACTAATGTCACAAGACAACTGGTTGACCTACTATATTTGGCTGTCAAAAAAAACCTCCTAAGATATTAAATTCTAATTTGTAGGTCATTCCCTCTAAGGAGTTTGTTATTTACATTGACCCCATTAACCATTAAGTCAGGTCATCCCCTGGTGGTTGAGTAACCATATATTAGCCATTTAATTTCATTTTCTATTTTTCTATAAAAGAAAAAAGAAAAAGGGAAAAAAAAAGCTCCATAACGTTCGCTCCTTTTCATTTCACATCACAAAATGAATAAGATTACAGGAATTTTACAAGTATTCCCTTTAAAAAACAAAAGCAAAAGATAATCTATAAACTTAGATTAATAGCATTTATGATCTCTGTAAGATACTACAATCAAATTATTGATGGATAAGTAGACCTACCTCCACATAGTAGCTGAATGCTAGCTTACTGATTAGCAGCAGAATCCAAAACAGTGTATACCTGAACCCAAGAAAATTTTGTCAACAAAACAAATAATTTAAAAGGGAAAAGGTAGCAAAGCAGAACACTCACGTAACCAGAAAGCTCTGTTGCATAAGATTCTATGTAGACAACAAAGAAATTACAAATAAAACCTAAAATTGAAGCCACAGGTTGCAATGCTAGAATGTAGCAGCACTAGAATGGACTTCCCTCAACTCCTTGTGATAAATTGGATGTAAAGCAATAAATTAAAGGTATACTTACTTCAGCAATGAGAACATGTCTTCATGCATGCCTCTTCCTACATAAAGTTTAGGCTGCAGTATGGCCAAACCAAACATCAGACATAAGAATAAAGAGAACCAGACCTTTAATATGAGATGAAAAATAAACCAAGAGCCATGCTCAAAATACAAAGCATCTAGATGAGGATTGTTGGAAGGGAGTTCCACATTGGTTAATTCTCCATTGGTATGAGGCCTTTTGGGGAAGCCCAAAGCAAAGTCACGAGAGCTTATGCTCGAAGTGGACAATATCATTCCATTGTGGAGAGTCGTGATTCCTAACATGGTAACATAGCCATGTTTTTAACTTAGTCATATCAATAAAATCCTCAAATGTCGAACAAAGAAGTTGTGAGCATCAAAGGTATAGTCAAAAGTGACTAAAGGGTCGAACAAAGGGTGTACTTTGTTCGAGGACTCCAGAGAAGGAGTCGAGCCTCAATTAAGGGGAGGCTATCCGAGGGCTCCATAGGCCTCGGGGGAGGCTTTGTAGTGTTACTTTGTTCAAGGGGAGGATTGTTGAGGATTGTTAGGAGGGAGTCCCACATTGACTAATTTAGGGAATGATCATTGAGTTTATAAGTAAGGAATACATCTCCATTGGTATGAGGCCTTTGGGGAAGCCTAAAGCAAAGCCATGGGAGCTTATGCTCAAAGTGGACAATCATACCATTGTGGAGAGTCGTAATTTCTAACATAAACAACCAACAAACAACGAATTCAATTGAAGTAATGAATGTTAAACATACTGACCTGAGCCCATCACATTAGAAATGTGGTAATTAGCCAATATAAAGCAGCTAAACAACCAGCAAACAATGAATTAAATTGAAGTAATGAATGTTAAACATACTGACCTGAGCCCACCACATTAGAAATGAGATAATTCGCCAATTTGAACGTTCCATCTTTTTTCTCAAAGGTGGAAGCAAAAATAGTAAGCAAGACAATATATTTGGTATCAAATATACTGCAACGGCATAACTATAAAATGACTGGTTCTGCCAATCCGCAGCCCAACTACTGAAAAATTTCACAAGTCCAGTGGGATTTTGCACGGTATTAAAATAAGCAATTGGCAGAACCACGACCCACGCTGCTGCCACTATAAACTTTAGAAGATAACGTAGTATTTGGGTAAATTTCAAGCTCCTCCATGCAATCCAACTTAGAATTATATCCAGAGTAGCTGCAGATAAAGCATACATCAAGATGAAAATTGCCATAAAACTTTAAATCGTCAGCTAGGTTAATACTTGACAATCATAAAAAGAAAGCTTCACAAGAATCCGTAGTTTTTGTACCACGTCCTGAAAAATTATACAAAACAGAAAGTAATCGGGACTGAAGTCATACCTCTCAAAAAATTAAGAATAGCAGCAGTAATAAAAATGCTCAAAACACTTTTGAAGACATCAGCATCAAAAACTGCAATAAGAGATCCACCAGGGCTCCAGGCAATTATTACCATAGCCTGAAATTATGGAGTTATAGATGATATTGAGTTCCATGAAAAAATATGATGAAAAAAGTAATATAATGAAAGCCAAAAGGTTGACAAAACCTGGTATGCCAATATAAAGAATATCCACATTCTGTCAAAGCTTCTATAAAGATTCAAAAAGGTACGAACTTCAACAAAATTTGTTTTGGGCTTCCTCTTTCCAGCAGCTACTTGGTTAGGATTCTAAAATTCAAATACAGCTCCACATTAATGTTCTAAAATTGTTTAAACAAAAACGAAGCATAAGAAAAGCATGGACAAGACAATTAATGAAGTCATTTTCAGCTGGATTAATCTGCCACTAAGAGAACAATGTATAAATCAACTAGCACAAAGAAAGAACAGCGTGTGTGAGAGAGAGACCACATTTGCAGGTTGTATAGAATCTGAATGCCTAAAAAAATCTGATTTTGGGTTCATAGGCCATCCAAGGTTGAAACATCTGTCAGACCTAGATCAATAAATAAATTTTCAAGTCAAGATTATCAAAAGTTCAATGTGAATTTACTTATAGTGAATCTTATAATAAATTTTCAAGTCAAGATTATCAAAAGTTCAATGTGAATTTACTCATAGTGAATCTTACCAAAAATACTCATTGAGATCATCATAGTTCCGCCAGGTAGAATGACTAGCCTTACCTCCTTTGTTTCTCTTAGCTTCCTTTTGTGCCAAGTAAATAATTCTTAGATGCAATCTTATCAAACTTGGCAACAAGTAAATTGATCAAATAAAAGTTGTGATTACCATCAGAAGAACTTGGTAAATTGGAGTGATAACTTCCCTCAAAAACGATTCCTCATCACGTGCTTCTGCCTCCTGAAACGATTCTCCACTAACAGGATGGACATTGCTATACAGAATCCCATAGACAACGTTGGCCATCTGGCATATTGAGAAAACAAGAATAAGATTGAGCATTCTTGAACAATGATCTGTTATGAATTTAAAAGACAATTATATAAATTGAAAAATGGAAATTGTTTAGATGTGATTACCAACCATTCACAAAAGATAATTTTAAGTTAATCAAAGATATTGACTTGTATTCCCCACCCAACCTTGCTATCAATTTGTTACACTTCGGACTAACTTGGTTTACAGCATCCTTTCTTGGGGTGAATAAGTGCACGCAATGAGTCATCTATCTATCTATCTCGCCCCCCCACCCCCCC